GACGCTTCCGGCCGACGCAACCCCCTCTGGAGTTTCAGTGACGCTTCCGGCCGACGCAACCCCCTCTGGAGTTTCAGCGACGCTTCCGGCCGACGCAACTTCCTCTGGAGTTTCAGCGACGCTTCCAGCCGAGCAACCCCCTCTGGAGTTTCAGCGACGCTTTCGGTACTTTCTTCAATTCTCTAACAGTCTTTGTGAAGCTAACTCGTTTCTGTTTGCTCGTAACGTAGTTCTCACAAGGACTCATAACAATTTCCGCATCAAATACACCTTGTTCATAGCCGACGGTTTTTCATACATATTCGACAGCGTCTTCAACACACCTGACGTTGTCTTCTCCTTGATAATGTTGAACGCCACGTTTCTGGATAGCATCAACCGGATCAGCCCCAAGGCTTGTTGATCCTTGAGCTTCCACTGTTCCGTGGTCATGGTATCCGGCTTCACCCCCAATAGAGGTTCATGAAGATACCAGTTGTTAGGATCGTACAACAATGCACACGCTCAATCTAGATGAACACAAAGAATGGGATAGAGAAAAGTGCAAGGAGAACTCTGGCTAAAAGGATTTGTTTTTATTGATGACTTCACGTATGTACTGAGAGTACAGAGAATAGAAAGTACATTTTCAAAGAAAGTACATTTTCAAAACTTTACCGGACGGGATATATATATGGTTTAGTTTACTATAGCTTTACCAGATTTAGTCATCTACCATATATAGCTATTTACCATATATAGCTTTACCGGATATAGCTTTACCATATAGCTTTACCGGATATAATAGTTGACCAAGCTATAAATAAGGAGCGGGCTCCATAACCTAACCGTAAAGCCATGGTTGGTCTTTCGGTAGCTTATACAGATATTGCAGTGGGGTGAAAATATTCATAAGAAGGAGAATCTTCTAAGAATAAATTTTAGATGGACTGGATTAGTCTCCATCCCAGTGTCTCCACCTATTATTCGTCTCTAACAAGTTGATCCTCTTTCTATTTAAAGTAGATATTTAAGAAGAAAAATAAATAAATGAGGAAAGCTTCAGAGATTGAGAAATGAAGTAAGGAATTGTTGAACTATAAGTTGAACCACAAGAAATGATATCAAAGAGGGAGATGAACTATGAAGGATAGATAAACAGTTTTTGTTCATATATTATACTAACACTAAGAGATAACTATTTTTAAAATTGTGGTACT